TGGGCTAAACGGCGATGCCAAAGCCATCCCACATCAACTTTAGCCATTAGGCACGTCGCGGTCTTAGTGGGTCGCTCCGAAAAGTTAATCACATATAGACCGTTCTCGACATGCCCAACAAAGGCTACTTTAAGAGTCTTGCTCCACAAGAGGGCCACGGTATTGATATCAAAGAAAGTGGCAAAACCCATGATTGCAAGTTGACGAACGGAAAGTAAATTGTATGCAAGGGACTCAACAAGCATGACCTTCTCGATCCTGAGATCATGAGAGATGACCACCTTGCCAAGTCCAAATACCTTAGAAGATGAGGTGTCACCCCACTCGACATTGGTGGGCATAGATGGAACCTTGTGCACGTCCACCACCAAGTCCTTACTTCCGGTCATATGATTTGTAGCTCCGCTATCGAGCAACCATGATCCACCACCGGAAGCAAACACCTACAAGAGATCAATGCTTGGTTTTAGGTACCCATTTTGTAATGGGCCCTTTGATGTTAGTAACAAGGGTCTTTGGAACCCAAATAGACCATTCAATGTACTCATGAAGAGAACCAACAAATTTGGCATAAACATGCCCATCACTAGCACGACATAACACATAAGAAGGATTAAAATCGCCGGCTTTGTTGGGAGGGGTGGCATTGCCCTTCTTGACATTGTTCTTCTTCTTCTCCTCGAAGGCACTCTCTCCCTCCTTCACAAAGGTTTGCATGAGAGGAGGAGGTCGTTTGGTCTTGTCATTCTTCTTCTTGTTCTTGGAGTCGGGCACGTACCCTACCCCTTCCTTGGCCACAACCCCTTTTGGTTGATCAAGAGATCGTTGAGGTTCTTCTTGCCTTGTATGCAAGTTGCAAGACCTCTCTCAAGTTGTCCCTTTAGCTTAGCGTTCTCCTCAACGAGATGCACATGCTCACAACACGGGTTAGTAGCATTTGCATTATCAATTAACATCATACGAGGGAAAGTGGCTTTTTCCTTGGTTAGCTTTACTTGAAGTTGATCATGAGACTCTTTGAGGCTAGCATGAGCACCCTTCAAGACCTTGTGAGCCTTGTCAAGTAGATCAAACTCCTCTTTGAGTCTAGCAAGATCAACCTCAAGTTCGGCCTTCTCGGAGTTTAGCACATGAGAAACTATGAGGACATGATCATAATCTTTCTTTAACTTAGCATGATCAACGTTGTGTGACTCCTCAAGAGCCAAACGTAGACCACGCTCTTCCTCAAGAGCATTGGAAAGATCCGAAATCTCATCGGCATAGTCGCGACTATGCCCTTCCATCTTAGTGATGGTGTCTTCGTGAGCCTCGATCATGTCATTGGCTTCACCAAGTTGTTCCAAGAGAGCAACAAAGTGCTTCTTGGATTTTCCCTTGAGTTTGCCCATAAAGGCCTCAAACTCGTTAGCCTCCACATTAGCTCCCTCAAGTTCATTAATGCTATCCGTCGGAGAAGGATGATTAATGATGGTAGTTTTGATGTTGGGGGTTACCTTGTTGGTGGCTTTAGCCATGAGGCACTTGGCAGTGATGCTCTCATTGGGTGAGTCGAAGAGAGACACCCGTGACGTCGTCGCAATGGCAACGGAGGCCATGGCAACCGACCCATCATCTTCATCATCGTCATCATCCTCATTGTACTCTTCTTGCACAACCAAAGCCTTGGGAGGAGTCTTCTTGGTAAAGTTGTTCTTGTTGGGGAACGACTTGGCCTTGTCCTTTCGGATGAGCTTGCCACCATTGTCTTCCCTCTTCTCATACGGGCATTCCGCAACGAAATGACTCACGTTGCCGCAATTGTAGCAAGTCCTTACACGTTGCTTGCCCCTCGTGCCACTCGAGTTGTTTTTGCTAAAGTTTGGCCTCGAGTTTTTCTTACTCCAAAATTGCCTTGAAGCAAGTGCCATGTGTTCATGATATGCATACTTCGTATCTTCGGGGTTGCTCTCCTCTTCTTCCTCTTCTTCTTCTTCCACGGTGAGCTTGGCCTTCAATGCAAGGTTAGGCTTCTTTGCCCGTTGAGAACGGAGCACCGCATTGTCGGTGGTCTTGTCCAAAATGTTCATGGCCACAAACTCATTCAACACTTCGCTTGAGGTCAAAGTGTGGAAGTCCGGTCTTTGACGAATGACGGAGGACATGGCCTTGTGATAGGGCATCATTACCTTGAGGAATTTGCGCTTGATCCAATTGTCATCCGTGTCCTTGCTCCCGTGATCTCGTAGCGAGACCGCGAGTTTGGTTACTCTCCGATAAATCTCACGAGGTTCTTCATCTTCTTTCATTGCAAACTCATCGGCCTCATCTTGTACCACTTCATAGTTGGAGCGTTGAATGCTTGCACTCCCCCCGTAGAGAGAGACAACACAATGCCATGCATCTTTGGCCAAGGCGAAGGGACGAAGATGAGGTAGGTCTTCGGGTGGAATTGCATCTTGAATGATGAAGAGAGCATTCTCATTGAATTGATTGTCCGCGGCTTCTCGAGGAGTGAAGTTGCTTGGATCATGTGGATAGAAACCTTCTTCAATGATTCTCCAAAGGTTAGTGTTCACATGATTTAAATGACATTTAAAGCGGTAAACCCAAGAATCAAAATCCTCATTTTTCACAATCTTAGGGGGAGGACCGACATGATTCAAATGAGTGGAAGGAACCGGTCCACCATAAACAAGTTGTGGTTCCACATGGGCAAAGATGCCGGTGCCATTCTTACCACTAGAAGGAGCCTTTTCACTACTAGCTTCCCCCTTGTCGGGGATAGCATCCGTCACCTTGTTGGCGGGGTCACCCACTTTCAACGGTGCAGTGGATAGTTTAAGCCCCTCAAGAAATTTAGTAAACATGCTTTCAACTTCGGTCGTCATGGAGGTTTTCAATGTCTCCAAGGCCACATTGAACTCCTCACAAGAGATCGAGGTTCCCCCATCGCCCGTAGACGAGATCGGATTCACACCGGAGTGTTCCTCCACACCGTCTATGGTATCAACCATACTCTTTGGACGGTAAAGTCCTTAATAAAGAGACGAGGCTCTGATACCAATTAAAAGGATCGATATGGTTGACTAGAGGGGGGGGGGTGAATAGGCAACTACCAATTTTTACTTTTCTTTACCAAATTAAACTTTGCATCAAAGTAGGTTGTCTAGATGTGTAACTAGGTGAGCAACCTATATGATGCAATAACAACAAGCATACAAGCAAGCAAGGGAAGAAACACTAAAGAGTTTGCACAAGTAAAGGTAAGAGATAACCAAGAGTGGATCCAGTGAAGATGAGGATGTGTTACCGAAGTTCCTTCCTTTTGAGGGGAAGTACGTCTCCGTTAGAGCGGTGTGGAGGCACAATGCTCCTCAAGAAGCCACTAGGGCCACCGTATTCTCCTCACGCCCTCACAAAATGCGATATGCCGTGATTCCACTATTGGTGGCCTTGAAGGCGGCGACCGAACCTTTACAAACAAGGTTGGGACAATCTCCACAACTTAATCGGAGGCTCCCAACAAGACCACGAAGCTTCACCACAATGGACTATGGCTCCGTGGTGACCTCAACCGTCTAGGGTGCTCAAACACTCAAGAGTAACAAGATCTGCTAGGGATGAGTGGGGGAATCGAAAATCCCTTGGTGGAAGTGTAGATCGGGACCTTCTCAACCACTCCCGAACAAATCAACAAGTTTGATTGGCTAGAGAGATAGATCGGGCGAAAATGGAGTTTGGAGTATTTAATAGAGCTTGAGCAATAAATGGAGCTTGGGGGAGGAAGAGGTAGGTCAAAGAGAAGAAGGGGACTCCCTTTTATAGTGGGGGTAACAATCCAACTGTTGCCCCCCACCAACCAGCCCCGCACAGGGCGGTACTACCGCTGAGAGGGGGCGGTACTACCGCCAGGACAGCGATACTGTCGCTTGTGACCCTTCGGCCGTACTACCGCTGGCAGTGCGGTACTACCGCTGGGTTGCATAGGAGAGAGAGAATCTCTCAAAGATGCTGAGGACGAGGCGGAGGTGCCAGGCACCCCATCGATACTACTGCTGTGGAGCCACAGGCGGTACTACCGCTGTGGAGCGGTACTGCCGCTTGTGTCTCCTCAGCGGTACTACCGCTGGGTGCGCGGTACTACCGCTTGGACCCAGACAGAACAAGGAAGAGAGGAAAGAACTCTACAATGGAACGGAAAATCTCGGAGGGTGAGAAGCTGATGTGTACGTGATGATTCCACCCATGCAATACCCCAGTGGACCCCCTCTTGATAGTACGGTGCCCTCTATGCAACCAGTCCACCGAGAAAGAAACGAAAGAGCTACACCGTCTTGAAATACACTCCGAGGGGAAGAAAGCGTCTCGTGCCAGGGGAGAATCTGTGAATTATTCAAAGCACAAGATTAGTCCGCAAACATGTTGTCATCAATCACCAAAACTACCTTGAGAGAGATATGCCGTAACAACCTCCCCCCTTTTGGTGGATTGACGACAACTAGGGATTTGCGCAAGGAAAAGAAATAAAACGAAGAAAACTAAGAATTACAAAATATAGACGGGCTCCCCCAGAATGTGTGCACCTAGATATGGCAAGACACACACATTCGGATCAACACTCCCCCTATATTTTATAGTCCAACAATACTAAGCACAAGATATATGAGAGAAGAGAATAAACAGGACAAGCATGCATCTTATAATAAACTACAGTACTCTGAATAGACATAAGTAATAAGGTAGCGATAGGGAGCATATGTCTCACACCATATGTCTAGAACTTAGGTCTCACACCAAACCAAACCAAATAAAGACACCGAGAGAACACACAAGAAACCACAAGACGACTCAAAGCACGACACAAGAAACAAATCCCTACACTCTCTCCCCCTTTGGCAGCGAGACACCAAAAAGGGCAAAGAGTGACGCTACGACTCCAGGTGATGGAAAGAAGATCTTGAATATCACATCTCTGCATCTTCATCGTGGGTCGAAAACTGCTCGGCGTCGGAGTCGAGATGATGAGCCTCCTCATCGACATGCAATCCTTTGAAAAACGTGTGAAGCTGATGGATCAGAGGAGAGGGTCGAAGATGGGGCGAGTCACCATCTACCGGAACCGCGCTCTCGGGCACGAGCATTTGATGGAAGACTACTTCGCGGAGGTACCTACATACCCTCCTCGTCTCTTCCGCAGAAGGTACCGAATGCGGCGTAGTTTGTTTGTGAAGATTGTCACCGATTGTGAGGCCGCCTCCTATTACTTTAAACGTCGTAGATCCGCCGCCGGTATCATGGGGTTTAGTGCATATCAAAAGATATCGGCGACAATGCGGGTACTCGCTTATGGCATACCCGCGGATTATACCGACAAGTATCCTCGCATTGGGCAAGATACAACCACGGAGTCAGTCCGTAGGTTTGCCAAGTTGGTCATTCGGTTGTACGGTGAGCAGTATCTTCGGGCACCAAACCAGGAAGATACAAAGAGATTAATGGAAATGAATGAAAAAAGGGGATGGCCGGGGATGCTAGGTAGTCTTGACTGCATGCATTGGAGGTGGAAAAATTGCCCAAAGGCATGGCACGGAATGTATTGCGGTAAAAGCCGTGATGCTACCATTGTGCTTGAGGCTGTAGCATCTCAGGACACATGGATTTGGCATGCATTCTTTGGGTTGCCGGGAACACTCAATATATCAATATCCTCAATAGATCTCCTTTGTTCAAAAGATTAATTTCTGGGGATGCTCCAGCTTGCAACTACAAAATCATGGACAATAAGTACTCAATGTGATACTATCTCATCGATGGCATCTATCCCGAATGGGCAACTCTTGTGAAATCCATCAAGGAAAAAAAGGGGTGCCCTTAACAAGAAAAGAGGCTCATTTCACCAAGGCACAAGAGGCAGCCCGCAAGGATATTGAGAGAGCTTTCGGTGTTTTGCAAGCAAGGTTTGCCATAGTTCGTGGTCCAGCTCGGTTTTGGGACAAAAAAACCTTGATGAACATCATGAAATGCTGTGTGATTCTACACAACATGATCCTAGAGGATGAAAGAGGGTTAAACCTCCCTTGTTTCTATGACAATGTTGGTACCCGTGTGCAACCGGAAAGAAACCCTTCTCGCATACACGCTTTTCTTCAAGTACATCGTGAGATTAAGGATGCAACCACTCATGGTCGGCTCCGGGATGATCTAATAGAGCACCACTGGCAGTTGGATGGGCGGCGCATTGGCCCATGATGTATCTTTGTTTTACTTTTCTATGTCCTATTTGATTCGAACAATTAGTGTAATTTGCTCAAACATTGTTGAAATAATTTGAATGATTATTGTTTTATTCGATGTTGTAATAATAACTAGAATGATTATTGTTTTATGTCAAATATGATGGAATTTGTGATATGTCATATGATGAAATGTGTAATATGTGAAATGATAGATTTAAAGGTTAGGGTTGAGGCAAAGACTAGAACCCTCAAATCCAACCCTTAAAGCAGTTTAAAGGTTGGATTTGAGGGTTTTAGTTTTTTCCCCTGTTTTTCAATCTTTAAAAATGTCAAAAAATGGTACTTCTCAATTCTTAAAACTGCTATAAGGATTTGAGGGTTTAGGGGTTCTACTAGTAATGCTCTTACTAGAGCCTCCGCCTCCGGTAAAGAAGAGAAAAGAAAAATCTGACTACTCGTCTCCCTTGCGCCTCGTGACGTGGGCTGTTTCCTCGCGCCGCTTCCTCCCGCCCGCCGCGGCGCACCACGCCGCAGCTGAATCTTTCGCCTCCGCGGCGTCGTCCCTCTGAGCCTCCCGTTAGCACCAGTCCGTTCCTCTGCACCCCAACTGCAATCCAATCCAATCCAATCTTCCGCCTTTGGGCGTTTCTGCTTCCCTGGGACTCGGGATCTCGTCGGGGGAGGCGGCGGCGGATTTGAGATTTGGGGCACATGGCGTGGCGGCGCGTCCTCTCTCAGGTGTGTTTTCTATTAACTTTCTTCTTGCTTTTCTTCGTCCGCACTTCTCCTTTCGCGGGGGGCGCGATTGTGATGGGATAGGAGGGAGGGATGTAGCCGTGGTTTCATTAGACTTCAGAACGAAAGACGGCTAATTCTAGTTGTGACCTTATAAGCGTGATCCCTTTTATCTTGGATGCTTGTGGATTTCAGGTTAGTTAATCCTCCTGATTGTGGATGCTTGTGTAATGGATTTTATTTTGTATCAAAAGTTGTCAGATTGCTTTGACGAATTTGTAGGTATTGGAAAGTTTAAGTCAGGACCGGCTTGTGTCAGTTGTCTAGGTATGCGGTATGCTAGAAAAAGTTGTGTAGTATGTATTGCTATGTTTGAGCATGGAGATTTATCAGAAAGATTTATGATTGACAGTGCCGGAGCCAGGATTCGACCAGAAAAGGTAGTTTAGTATGTATTGCTATATGTTTGAGCATGGAGATAGTTCAGATTTCAGAAAGAAATTATAGTTAAATAGTGGCGGAGCCAGGATTCTACCAAATCCCGGGCCAAGCGCTAAACACTTGTAATTATTCTAGGAAGTACTCCGTACCAAGTCATAATTAACATAGAATTGATATAGCTTAATTCCACTGGGTAAGCTATGTTTGGTCTTAGTTTCACATGTGGCAGCGCTCTGTTCTTTCTCTACCGCTGCGGTGCTTGAGTAACTCTGTCTTTGACCAATGTGATTTGCTTCGCCATCTTTGCTGATGGGTTGGAAGAACAAGTACATGCATCGACAATAATAATCTACCAAAGTCTCTTCAAATGTGCCAACAATTTTTTTCATGCACCACCCAATCAGGTTACCCATTCGCTTACTTCGATCAACATCTGGAAAAAAATCCCAATACGACAGCTAATCGAGAACCACACACGATAACGAGGCTCAACAGCTCTGGTTGGCCTTATCTACTATCAGCAGCTTCAATTGATCAATTCGCCATGTGTCGGATGCGGATAAGGGTGAGCCTCTCCAGATCTAAATCTTGCTTTTCACTCAGTTCCCGATGGCTCCGTGCTGCCCAAGGGCCCCTCTTGCAGGTAGCATTGCTTCTGGAGGCGGTGGTGGAACTTGCTGTGTACACTGCCGTGTAGGATGGGGAATTCAGGGAAGTTGTTTAGGGGTCATGGTTTGGGGATTTGGAGGCATGTCTGAGACTCTGAGTTTCTACTTCCTGGATCCCTGGCCAAGCCGAATGCCCCAGCTACACTTGTTCCTTGCATTCGATTAATTTGCTCAGTTATTTTGCCTTCTGCTGTTCTTGTTGCCGTATATATTTATGTGTATGCAAGACTTAATTCAGGTATACATTTTTTTTAATTGCAGGCTGCAAGGAACCAATCAGCATATGCAATCTATAATGAGTTGGCAGCCTCCTCTCCTCTGACGTCACTTAGAAGTGACATCAGTGCAGGTATATGGTCTTTGTACAACGACAGCATCTTGGCTCAAATTGTAACCGTCTCTACTTTACTGTTTAATCTAACAGTGTGTCATTTGAAACTTTTAAACTTATTAAAAATGTGAGTGTCTATATCTGCATATTAAACATATATCTTTATCTGTCTGCCCCTTCTTACCTTTTATTTGCATTAAAACAGTCCATGAGGGCCATTATGGTCTATTTATTTTTATTCTGTAGTTAGTGTTTTGTTACCATTGCTCTCGGGGATAATTCTTTTACCTTTCTTTTATCGTTTTTTGTGTGTGCTGGTGATGATCAATGCAGGTGGCACACTCAGGAACTTACATGAGAGGTATCATTCGAGCTATTTTGGTGGCCTTTCACGCAGCATGCGAGACCTGGGCTCCCAGAGTGAAGCTTCTATGCTAAAAGAGATATACAGAAGTGACCCAGAGCGTGTGATAAAAATATTTGAAAGCCAGCCTTTGTTGCATTCGAATCCTTCAGCACTCTCTGAGTATGTAAAAGCTCTTGTGAAGGTCGACAGGCTGGATGATAGCACCTTGCTAAAAACATTGCAAAGAGGTACCTATATCCTCAAAATATCTTACTCTGCCTTGTGGGGCATGCTGCTGTGTCTGTTTTTTCTTTTTTAAATAGTCAAGAAGGTTCAAGCATGATTGGAAATTGTTCATATATACTTCTTTCTATAGCATATGCTCCATCCGTCCCAAAATAAGTGACTCAACTTTATACTAACTTTAGCACAAAGTACAAAGTTGAGTCACTTATTTTGGGACGGAGGGAGTATATGTTATTATATCATGTACCCTAGTCCTAAACTCCTGATTACTTCAATATGTTTTTCTTTATTGCTCGTGGACTATCAGTCACTTGTACTACAGTTAGATAAATGATAACCTTGTACTACGTGTTTTTAGTTTACAATCATGTTGCACTGCACTACTCTAGTAGCTCAGGGCTGTACTGAGATATATTACTAATAAAAGATTAATTTTCACAAAATTGGTAATGTTCCATTGGAAGCAGGATGTGCAGTTGTTGCTGAAAATCTGCAACGTGAAATAATAAAAACCAATACAGAAACTAACAACTAGAACAAGCATCATTCTTTCCCTACTATTTTATTTTACCTTCTACAGTTTAAGTTGATCTGTCGTTGGTTAAGGCTGTTTCAGTTTTCTGCGGAAATGAGTTTACAGTTACGTTCCATCTGATGGAGCCTGAGCATCATTCCATAATGACTAGTTTTCGTATTATGTGGCTTAAAACTCGTGCGTGGTATACCTGTTAGGTCTTGCTGCTTCAGAAAGGTCAGAAGGAAGCCTTGGTAGCGTGCCGGCATTAAAGAGTGCTGGTCAAGTGACAAAAGATGGAATTATTGGCACTGCGAATGCGCCTATTCACATGGTTACAGCAGAAACAGGTCAATTTAAGGATCAGCTTTGGCGCACCTTCCGAAGCATTGCACTGACTTTCCTTTTAATTTCGGGCATCGGGGCTCTCATTGAGGATAGAGGAATCAGCAAAGGTTTGGTTTTCTCAACGATCTGAAAGACTAATATCCTAATTCCAAATTGGATTTCATCCCAGTAATAAATTTGATAAAATCCTTGTAGGCCTTGGCCTAAACGAAGAGGTTCAACCAAGCATGGAATCTAGTACGAAATTTAGTGATGTAAAAGGTGTTGATGAAGCCAAAGCCGAACTCGAGGAAATAGTTCACTACCTTCGAGATCCAAAGGTAAACCGTTTATTATTTTTTCCATTTAGCAGTGCTTCTACCAGCTACTCTTTCTAGCAATAAACCATTGACAATTGAATAGGTTTAATTGCCGGTGCTATGGATTAACTTTTGCCTAGCCATATTGTGAACTGCTTCACATTACATTCAACTTTTGAAGTGAATTATTTTGTTTTTTGTTCTGTAACGCATTTGATCTATGAATAGCTTGCTTAATTCAACACTGTTGTTTGATTTTGCCAGAAGAGGTCTTGTTGTCTTCTTAGTGTTGTGCTTTATTTCTGTCCAATTTGTTTGTCCTCAGCTGAATTGCTTATTAAATGCTAAGTTATGTAGTTCACATTTTGTGGTGTAGAAATGAGTTGTTAGCCACTGTTTATGTGTATCCTTGCTATATCCAGTCCTCCATTGTTGGCATTATATCTGCTTAATTTGATATTCATAACCGGCCTGTATGTTTTGCAGCGTTTTACACGTCTTGGGGGAAAACTGCCAAAAGGTGTTCTGCTTGTTGGTCCTCCTGGCACTGGCAAGACCATGTTAGCGAGGGCTATTGCTGGGGAAGCCAGCGTCCCTTTTTTCTCGTGCAGCGGTAGTGAGTTTGAGGAGATGTTTGTAGGCGTGGGAGCTAGAAGAGTGAGGGATCTTTTTGCTGCAGCAAAAAGACGATCGCCTTGTATCATATTCATTGATGAAATTGATGCAATTGGTGGGAGTAGAAATCCAAAGGATCAGCAGTATATGAAGATGACCTTGAATCAGTTGCTTGTTGAGCTGGATGGCTTTAAGCAGAATGAGGGGATAATTGTCATCGCTGCAACTAACTTCCCAGAGTCATTAGATAAAGCACTAGTCAGACCTGGGCGCTTTGATCGTCATATTGTTGTTCCCAATCCAGATGTTGAGGGCAGACGTCAGATCTTAGAGGTCCACATGTCAAAGGTAATTTTGGGAATTTTTGTCGTCATGCTATATCAATATTAAAATGTGATCTCATATCCCTCTGCACATAATTGCAGGTCTTAAAGGGTGATGATGTGGATTTGATGATCATTGCCAGGGGAACACCAGGATTTTCAGGTGCTGATCTTGCTAACTTGGTGAATGTGGCTGCTCTTAGAGCTGCCATGGATGGCGCAAAATCCGTTAGCATGAATGATCTGGAGTATGCCAAGGACCGGATCATGATGGGTAGTGAGCGCAAGTCAGCAGTTATCTCTGATGAGTGCAGGAAGCTGACAGCATACCATGAAGGAGGGCATGCCCTTGTTGCCATGCACACGGATGGTGCACATCCTGTCCACAAAGCTACCATCGTGCCCAGGGGGATGGCCCTTGGGATGGTGGCTCAGCTCCCTGACAAAGATGAGACTAGCGTGTCAAGGAAACAGATGCTAGCAAGATTGGATGTGTGCATGGGAGGGCGGGTGGCAGAGGAGCTTATATTTGGGGATAGCGAGGTGACATCCGGTGCTTCATCGGACTTTGAGCAAGCAACTTTGATGGCAAGAGCAATGGTTACTCAGTATGGTATGAGCAAGCAGGTGGGTCTTGTTTCATACAACTATGAAGAGGACGGAAAGACTATGAGCTCAGAAACGAGGCTTCTAATTGAGGAGGAGGTGAAGAATTTCTTGGAGAAAGCATACAACAATGCAAAGGCTATCCTCACCAAACACAACAAGGAGCTCCATGCTCTAGCCAATGCACTTCTTGAGCATGAAACCATGAGCGGAACCCAAATAAAGAACTTGTTGGCCCAAGTAGATAACAAACAGCCGCAGGGGCATGCTGTTGAAGCCCCACAGAAGACGCCAGCTTCACCCCCATCTCCAGCGGCAGCGGCTGCGGCCGCAGCCGCGGCGGCAGCACAACAAGCGGCAGCGCAAGCCAAGGGAGTTGCTGGTATCGGGTCTTAGCATCCATAGGTCTGCATTGTGTATATTAATTCACCAAATTAGCAGGTTGTTCCGTCAAACTGTCAGCTGATGAGTATCCCCCAGGAAGAATACGCTACACTGCTGCATCAAACACGAGGACACATCGATGTTGCTTGGGGTGTGAATAGAGAAAGAAACACATGGAGGAAAATTCACACATGGTAGCAGGCACATGTTAGCTAGTGTTTGAGTTGAGTTTGCTGTTGACAACTTCACATCTCAATAATTGTTATCGTTAAAATCTGCCATTGTATTTGTACGGTATACGTTTGGTCATGAAAGTTGCCAATAATATTCTGCTCATCAGCCGTAACGCTGAGATTGAGATCCCATGCATGCACACATTACGAAGGAAGCTAAAATGGCCAAAGTAGGCTAGTTTTAGATCAAATCTACCATGTCTTGGAACTCTTGCATGCACGACCGCGGCAGGCCAAGAAGCACCACGATGCTGCCGTCACGCACGTCCGGCATAAACATGACCACCTCCCCGCGCGGCAGCTCCGCAGGGCCAGACCGTGCGGCGTCGCCCCACCCGAAATCGGCCGCGTGGAACCCAAGACGGTTCCACGCCGTCACCAGCGTCGTCGCCGTCATCGACGGTGCCCGGCCATCGGCCACTTCCACGTAGTCGATGGCCGAACGGATGAACGCGTCGTCCGTGCGCCTGATGGCGTCCTGTATCCACCGGGCTGCAGCGGACACCGGCCCGCAGAGGAGCTCGCCGGCGGTGGACACGCAGCAGGCGAAGACGACGGCGTTCCCGCAGAAACCTCGAGGCAGCGGCGGGTCGACGCGCCGCCTGCCGTCGACGGCGAACATGAGCTTGCTCTTCTGCTCAGGGCACATCCTCATGGCGCGCGACGTCGCGCGCCAGACGAACGCCGTCAGTGCCACGAAGGTGGAGCACGCGCACGCCTGCCGCTTCAGCCGCGCGAGCCTGCCGGGGTCGATGGCGAAGGCCCGGTGCACGCGCGGTTCGTCGCGGAGGCCGGCGAGGCCGGACACGTCCTCCATCTCCGCGAATTCTTCGTGCGGGAAGGCGACCGTGGGGCTCGTCCTGGCGCGCAGCACGGTGCGGTCGAGGAAGGGCGGGGAGGAGAGGGCCACGCCGCGGGCCATCTCGCCCCAGGAGCGGAGGAACTCCGCCGCGGCGACGCCGTCCGCCAGGCAATGGTTCATGGAGAGCCCGAGCACGAAGCCGCCGCACCTGAACCTGGTGACCTGCACGCTCAGTAGAGGCGCCCCCAGCTCGTCGTCGCACTTGTCCTTGGAGTTACTACGGCCGACGAACACGAGCTGCCCCTGAACCGCGGCGGCGTCGGGTGCTGACAGTACGACGTCCCCGATCTCCTTGAGCTCGCAGTCGGCGTCCGCAACGACGAAAGGCACGCCACGGCGGTCGTTCCGCACCGAGAGCCTCCCGTCGTCGGCGCTGACCACCAGGCTCCCCTGGAATGGATAGTAGTGCACGAGCACCCTGCCCAGGGCGTCCATGATCACGGCGGCCGCGTCGTCGCGGGCGCTGGACGGGCTGAAGACGTGCACGGTTTTCATGAGCACTGCCACATTCTGGTCGAGGTTGGAGAGGAAGTAGTACTCGTCGGCGGCGGGAACGTCACCGGCAGCGTGCACGAGCACCGGCTCAGCCCTCGTCACCCTCATTGTCTGTGTTCCGCACCCGCACGTACGTTCTTTGTGCCTACGATGAAACTCATGTTATATAGTATTCCCTCCGATCACTGTTACAAGATGTTCTGAATATTTTATTAATATGAACTACTCTTTCTAAATACAACTTTTTAGAGATTTTAATATGAACTACGTACGGAGCAAAATGAATGAAACTACACTTTAAACTATGTCTATATATATCCGTATATGTAGTCATATTGGAATATCTAAAAAGATTTATATAGTATTTAAGAACGAAGGGAGTACACAAAGACTAAAGCGAGTGAACAAACACACTAAATTGCGTGTATATACATCTGATTCGATTATTTTTTAGAACATCTTATGGAGGGGGTGTTTTCTTGGCGGAAAAGGAGGGTGTAGTATATATAATGGAACCAAAGCTTCAAAGACATATTCACATACACACCACATACACACGCACACACCGTTGGTTTTTTGTTTTTGTTTTGAGAAGTGGTCACGGTTGGTCAGATAGTTCGGTTGGGACCATAAATTTGCTAGGTTATCTTTACCATTTCTAACATCTGACTGCGATGACCAAACTTGATTACAAACATACCAAAAATATCGATACCCTTTCCCCCTTTGCATGGGTTCATATTCTGTATATATTCATTTTACATTTCTGTATACACTCTGCCTGTAAAACAAGCACATTTATATGTCCGCAAAAGAGACAAGATGGGCGAATACATTTGAATGCCACACTCAAACTTGGCCGGCTGAAGAAACAATATCTAGTGCTGTGAGCTCTGCACTTTGGCCTTGAGCGCCTCAATGACCGCGGAGAAGTCCTGGTCGGCGAGGCCCAGCGATTTCGCTACCTTGTACAGCTCGTTTGCAGCTGCAGCTGTAGGAATGGGCTGGGACACCGATTCTGCAGGGCCAGCGCCAGCCTTAGATCCTGTCATGCGTTTCTTCTCAGCATCAGATTAAGACGAGGTGCAACAATGCAACTTTCTTTTTCAGTGCTCTGCTTACCTTCTGCTGATGTTTCAGGGGAAAGGCAGTAGGGTATGCAGCTTTAACCATGGAAGGGCCCTTGAGGGAGAACATGGGAGCATTGATAGCACCTTGTGAAATCACCTGTTGGACGACCAGTGCACCCTGGGTTAGACGAAAAACTCTCTTGACATGTTGCAGGTTACTATACTTGTTTTCGTAAAGCTACCTCGACGACAGTATTCGGGTCTAACCCCACTTTTTCACTCAGGAGTAGCCCTTCTGCAAATGAGACCATCATGCTGCAGTGTTTCACCGCAAGGATCAGTAAAACCTAAGATTTGATAATCTCCATGACCATACATAGGATCCACATAAATGAGGTTCCACTTTACCTCCCCATCACCATATTAACCACGAGCTTCATTGCTGTGCCATTCCCGACATCCCCAAGATAAAATCTTGACTGCTTTCAGAGTACGGAAAATGTAAGCACATTCTCTTATCAGCACGCAACTATTTTTCTTATTCTAGTGCCTCTTTCTGATTAGAGATGTTAACCTTGCCCATGACATCAAGTAGAGGCGCCACTCTCTTGTACAAGGATTCATCACCTTGTGCAATCAATCATATTGACAATTTAAGGTGTCAGAAGAAAAAGGAGATTTAACTACTAGATTTTCTCAATGACCAAGCATGAAGAAACAAGTTTACCTGCAGTAAGAAAGATCAGCAGTCCATCTTCTGCTGGCTTTTTTGAGCCTGAAACTGGAGCCTACTGAAAAATCATCAAGTAAGCATTGGACCAAGAGTAGAAGCACTGAAATTACATCGCTAGTTACACATCCAGACAACAAAATTAACAATTCGATACAACAACGGTACAAGCAATGACATGGACCAAAAACTACCTCGAGAAAAGATGCCCCAGTACTTGTAATACGTTTGCCGATTAGCTTAGATGTTGCATCATCGACTGTCGACACATCGACATACCTACGGCAGACAAGCAAGACAAATATGATCGAAACATCGACATACCTATGACGGACAAGCAAGAGAAAATATGATGTTTTCAAGGTCTACTTCTGCTGTTCTGCAAATGCTCTGGAATTTCTGACCCTTTTTCTTGAGAGTAATTAGTACCACTTACCCTTTCCCTGCGGCCATCCCTTCTGCGGCTCCATTAGCGCCGCATGCAACCTCAAACTTTGGAATAAATCGTTTATGGACATGATTAGGTATGTCATCATGCTGAGACTTCACGAATAAAAGAAATGACAATTGGAATGCTGAAACGGAACTTATACCGCGCTTTCTGGGTCAGCAAGCATTGCAAAGGTGACATCACAAGATGATGCAACTCTGGCGGGTGAAGATTCGAACCTGTAGGGAGCCATCCTCTTGTATGAGAGAATCAATCAAGCGGAGTGTTGCATACATCTTATGTTACACGCAATACTGTCTCTTAACTTTGATCAATATCAACAACATGAAACTATCTAATAGACTACAACCATTCAAAACATAATCTTTGGTCTCTTTCAAGTGGGAACAGTTTTTAGCGGAACTAGATGATACCCCGCACGTTGTTGCTGGAATGTTTTGTAATATATTTGATTATATCGTACATGGATATTTGGGGCAATAATATGATAACTATAAAATGAAAATATATATGATTTGTTATGTTTGATTGCTGTATAGTTGTAAAATACTCCCTCCGTCCCAAAATAAGTGTCATTGATTTAGTAAAACTTTGTACTAAATCAGCGACTCTTATTTTGGAACGGAGGGAGTATTTATTAAATATAAATAGCATAATAGAATGGAAATTCTTATGCATGTTTGCATGTTGAGGCGGGCCTTTTCCCATGCATGTTACATGATGAGGTGACATGCTTGCATGTTGAGAGAAATAGATTAGTGGGGGCTAGCTATCTAGATGTACAGTAGAAGATTTTTGAAAAATATAATCTTTTCAAATAAAGTAGAGCAGAACAAGGTAGTCATCGAAGAAAAAAACGTAGTTGTGTTTACTAGTGAACTTGTGAGAGTTTTATAGTTATATATCAAGTTTCACTTATGAGGTGGTGTGGTTTCGTCCGGAATCCACAAGCTACAGACGGTCCCTCAGGTAGTTGTTTTGGAAATGGCACACATTTGATAAGTAGAAGATGGTTATAGATCACAATTGAGTTGATATGGAGCATACTTGGCACCGAGGCTGAGAAGAGGATCACACTTGCTCTTGGTTCTGTTCCAAACTGTAATATCACAACTGCAGATCACCAAGAACACCAGTCACGGGTCATGACGACAGTAAAATCATATGCATA